GCGCACACGGGGCGTCAATCCAGCCGGCGCGGACACATCTGGGGCGCTCTTACGCATTGCGTGATGCACTCTCATTGAGCGCCAGTGCCGAGGCGCGCGCGCGCGCGGGGGCGCACCTCCATGCCAATCGCCGTGGTGAGTGCGGTGACCAACGCCGTGTGGCTGGACGGCATGCCGCCGGCGCTGAGGCAAAGCATCCAGTCCCAGGTTTTGGTGGACGCATAGTTTGTGAACACCTTGGCGACCTGAGCCGCGATGCAAGCCAGCACTGGGCGTGGCGGGAGGTGTGTGGGCGTGGGTTGTGATGTTGAACGAGGGGGTTAAGGGACCGTTCCGGGTAATGGCCAAGACGCGCAGCTGCCCCGGCTCTCATCCTGCCTGACTTGAGGCGCACGCAACACCTGGCTGCTCGCGTGGGCCGCGCACTGCTGCCTGGGCCGTCACGTTCTCGGGCGCGGCAGGGCGTCCCCTGGGCCGCTCGCGGCAGCCTGCCGGCGTGTCAGGCGCGCACGCGATCCAATGCGAATCAAGGGGCGCGCTTGCCGGCCGCAGCGCACCTCCTGCCACAATTGCGTGGTTCACCAGTATGCCTGCCACCCCTCTGTCGAGCGGCGACAGCTCGCCGCCGGGCACGGGCCGCATGCTTTGCCAGCTGCTCTCCAGGCAGCGCCTGCACCGCTGTCCGCCCTAAGCGCCCGCGTCGCTCGCTGAATCTGACGAGACTGCCCGTATGTGCGCGGCCTATGCAGTACAGCAAGAGCTTGGCCTTTGAAAGCAACTACATGTATCATTGACAAGGTGCACAAGGATGCGGCCCACGATGATTTGCCATGCGATCGCAGGTCGCGACAGGCGGGGCGGTGGGTGCACCTGCCACGCAAGCGGGCGTAGCGGTGCACTGCCAAGCCGTGCGTTCGTGCCACGGGATGTACGTTTCACTCTTTCGTGTGGGTGGTGACACTATTACATATGATTTGAATGCCCGTGAGGCGGTGATGATCGGGTGCGAGATCTGCCTGTTACAGGGCGCTGTACTTTGAAAAAGTGCACTGCATGTGCTTATGTAACAATGCTTATCATACGACCCGTATGCCAATCAGTCACACAGAAGATGTGTTGTCCCATCCTGCTGAGCAGCAAGTGCTGGCAGCCAGTGCGCCGCCCGTGACCAACTGGGACTTCAAACTGTGTCGCGAGAGCAGCGCGCAATGTTGACACATGCCAAATAACGCAACAGCAACGAAACCTACCGCACTGAACGCACTTGCCAGGGGCCATTTGGCCGCGATGGCGTCTCTGCCTGTGCATGCAGACGTGCCACAGTTGCAGGTGCTGCTTGTGCTGGTGCTGAGGTGGGAATGACTCATGCACGTAGCTGAAAAAACATGGGCAATGCCAGCATACATGGATGCTTCACACCAGCGCCTTGCTGCACTTAATCTGATGGCCACCGGCTCCAAGGCTTGCAGTGCCCGCTGTGCTTACGTTGGGCGTCGGCCAAATCTGCAACCAGGCTCGGCGAAGCAGGGCGAACGCCCTGGCGCCAATGTCCCCCCATGCCGGCCGGCCGGCCAGCCGGGGCTACTGGCTGGCACCCACACACATTTGTTCGCACGCGCCGCTGGAGTCGAGCAGCCGTCTGGCTCACACTCGCTGTTGCCCACTCTCAGGCCGCTGGTGCTGGCGTGCTGCGTGCGAGCGGCCGGCTCCGCAATGGCGAGAGGGTGCTGGCGTCATGGCCCCCTCCACCCCTCCCCCACTCACTTCCCCCTCAACCTCCAACATTTCATTACATGCTTGCAATGCTTTACCCGCTGAAAGCCCCAGACAAACGGGCTGCTTGACGCAAGGCGGAGCACACGCGCGCCGCCACGCAACTGTTGATGGAGCATCCAACTTTTAAGGGAGGAGTGGTGAGTCGCGCGTGAACAGGCCCAGGAAGCAAATGCAAGCAACGTTTGACGCACGGCAGTTTGGGCCGAGCTCGGACCTTGAAATCTTTTGCAGGCTCAAGCTGCCTGAGCCCCAGAGATGTGCCGGCGCCCGCCGGTGGGCGGAGCGGCGG